CGACACCAACTACATCAACAATAACAACAACACCAGCACCATCATCATCAAAACAACAACAACAACAACAACAACAACAACAATAACAACAACAGCAATCCACAGATGAACGCCTTTAACCACCACCAAAACCCTACAGCGGCACTCCCACCCCACCTCTTGGCCTCCAGCTGGGCCGCTCGTCGCTGCTGCACGGACGCCTCATCCCTCGCCATGTTCCACTGCCGAACCACCCTCATCATGAGCATCGAGGGGTCCCGCAGCTTCAGAGACACCCACACGTGGCCCACCACGCCGCCGCGGGCGGCAGCAGCAGCAGCAGCGGGGCCCGCCTCCCCCTCCACCGGGGACACGGCAGCCGTATCCCCGCCCGAAGCAAGCCTCCACAAGTCCCCCCTCCCCCGGAGGTGCTTCCCCCCCCCCGTCGGGGTAGCCATCGATTCGCCGGGGCCCCCGGCCCTAGACCCATGGCGCCTGGACTTCGATGCCGCGGGCGGCGGCGGCGGAGGCGGCGGCGGTGGCGGTAGCACCCACCAGACCCTGGCGCCTCCGGCGCCGAGCGGGGTGGTGCGGTACCCGTTTTCAGCGCCGCCGGCAGCCGCTATCCTGCGCTTGAGCCGGCGCAGCCGCTGCCGCTGCCGCGCGAGGAATGCTCGCGGGGCCGTTACGACGGCGAGCCAGAAGCCCGCGCCGTTGGCGACCGGGAGAACGGAAGAGGAGGAGGAGGATGCTGCCGCTAGGGCGGGGTAGGCGGCGGCGGCGGCGGCGATGGCTGCGGCGGCCGCGCTCTTGCTTCTCTCATACTGCCAGAGGGCGGAGGGGGACAGGAGGGGAAGCCTCGTCGTCTTTCCAGTCGCTAGTCGGCACACCTGCAGTGTTGTGTGTCGTCCGTTCGAACAGTATTGGGGCCGAAAGGGAGGGTATGTCGATGAAGTACGGGACCAAGCACACCTGCATATGGTGTCGTCCGTTTAACAAGGTTGGGAACTGAAAGGAACCCATTACTAGGGCAATATGGTAAGCTTGGGACACGTCACACTGCAGCTGGAAGCCAGCTGTGGGTTTGTTCTGCTCCCTGCTTATATACTTGGGTTTGGGGTGTTGCTTGTTTTGTGTTTTGGGTATTTCATTGGTTTTTAGTTTTGGGGACGCAATATCAAGACAGAGGATGTCAAACACAGAACCATTGCGTGTTGCGGTCAATAAGGCTGGGACCGAACACGGGAGGATGTTAATATAGAGGATGTGAACCACCTCGGAATACAAGGAGCGTTCCTTGGGACGTTCCGCAACAGATTTCGCCAGCGCCCCTTTCACGCTCTCCCCGAGGGTACACGCGCAAAAGAGAACACCAGCCGCAGTTTGCATGCACATGTCGACGAGTCTAGCTTTGCAACCTACAGCCCCCCCCCCCCCCAAGCAGCTGGAAACGGTACAGATGGCAGCGGCCAAGAAAATATTAGGATGTTCAAGTACAACGAGCAACACTGTATTGAGAGCAGAATTGGGAATGTACTCTCTTAAAACAAAGAGAGACATGCAGAAGTTGAATTGGCAGTACAAGGTAAATAGAATGTCGGACGATAGACTACCAGCCATGGTTGACAACGCAGCTTGGGGAAAAGCGACTCCAGAAAAGAAGGGAATCAGATGGGACAAGGTGGTAGAGAAAGTTTGGAAGGAGATAGGAGACGAGGAGGAGACGTTGGACACGGAAGGGTTCGGGGGGTTCAAGACGAAAGTCAAGGAGATGCTAGAGAGTAGGGAGGAGGCAACCCTTCGGAAGAAGGTACGAAGCGAAGACCACTTGGAGATATACGGGAAGTTGAAAGAAGGGATAGGGATGAAGACGTACTTGGACGGCCCCATGGACTATGCGAAAAAGCTGAAATTGCAATTTCGAGTAGGCGATCTGGACTTGCCAGAACGGAGGAAGAGGTATACCAGCCGTAGGAGAGAGGAAGAGGAGGATAGACACACATGTCCATGTGGCAAATCGGAGGAGAGTAGACCCCACATAGTTGGGGAGTGTGAGTTGTACAAGAAGGAAAGAGAGGATCTCGAGGAGGAAATGAGACAGAGAGGGTGTGACATGGACAAGTTTGTTAAATTAGACAACAGCGAAAAAACGATCGCGATAATTGGGGATAGATGGTGGGCACAAGAGGCCCTAGAGGACGGGGATAAGATGTGCAAGAAATTTTTATGGAGTTTGTGGCAGAAACTCAAAGAGCTCCCAAATGTTGGTGGTGTCTCTAGTAGGTGTAGGAACGGTGCTCCGTCTCGAAAGGGACGCGTGGTCAACGGTCAAACGACTACGGCAAGCAACAAATTAGTACGCCCCCCCCCCCCCCCCCCCCCCC